CGCATTCCTGTGCGAATTACATGCATATTTTTGTGCACTGCGATTTGAGCCATACATTTTGTATGGCTCGCATCGCATCTGCAGCCTCAGGACACATTTTTAAATCCGCACCTGAATCACATCGCATGGGTGTTCTCACCCATGCAATGCAATTACTGGCAATCACATTGCGTTTTGCAAACTGTTTCAGGGTGTAAATGTATCATTCACACCCGCACCAGATCGCATGAACGTGATGCGATTGCAATGCGGTGCGGGAAATGCACAGGATTCGCACCGTTTCCCGCACTGCATTTCTGTGAATTGGGGCTTAGTGTTCTTAAGAAAGCTATATTTTCATGCAGGCCACCCATGGGATGCTGAATATCCATTATTGAAATAACCGACAACCAATGAATAGGCCTCATCCACACTCAACTTTTTACAGCTGCTCCTAGGGGCATTTGGAACTTTTTACCATTAAGCGATTCTAAAGGTTATTTTTTTTTCTTTGGAAACTAACAAACATATCTATACTTACCTGCTGTATGCAGTGGTTTTGCACACAGCAGCCCGGATCCTCCTCTTCTTGGGTCCCCCGCAGGCTCTCCTGGTCCCTCCCTCCTGCCGGGTGCTCCCACAGCAAGCCGTTTGCTATAGGGGCTCCACCTGCTCACATTCAAACTTGGAGCCATGGCTTAGCCATGCCCCCCTCACTGGCTGTGATTGAAAGCAGTGGGAGCCGATGGCTCCAACTTGCTGTCTCAGCAAATGAGGAGGCAGTGACCCGGGACAGCCGAGGCTGTCATTCACATCGCTGGATCGCGATGAGGCTCAGGTAGGTATTGAGGGGGCTGGGGGCACTGCTGCACGCATTTATACAGTCTTACAAATACAAGTGGCTCTTTGATGGCAACCATAATGCTGATATGGCACGCTATTTGACACCCCTGATATAGTGTATATACACAGACACACTATATTAGGTCCAGTTACAATCTGTAACTGCGGTCCATTCATACTTGAAGTCAATTAGTCAGTAAGGACATAGGAACTCAGAATGTCAGTCCCCAACAGCCATATAACTAGCATTTTCAGAAGTAGGTCCACAATAGCATGGCATCTCTTATCCGGTTAACTTAAAAACATAGGTGTTTCTACATACACTTTGCACTTGTTCTGCATCAGGCTCACCTACTACTTTACAGTAGATGTAGCCGTACCACAGTAACTGAATGGAATTTATTTTGTGCAGTGCACTTTGTTACATGTGTGTGAACCAGGGCGGCTCCATTCACACCTGGGCAATTTGGGATTGCTGCAATTCAGCCAGCGATTGCAAAACACGGGTTCAGGTGCCATTACTTCAATGGCACCTAAAATGTGGTGCGGTTCTGCCGCGATTGTTGTGTGGCAAATCGCATCGCATGAATCTTGTCCCCCAAAAGAAGTTCCTGTTCTTTTTTGGGCAACAAGCTTCAAGAGATGCAATTTGCTGCAATTGCACAGTAAATCGCTAGGCAAAACCGCACTGTGATTTAGGTGAAACTGAAAATAATGACACCTGAACCCACATTTTTCAATAATAGTGCGCTTCGAGATTGCAGGCAGAATTGCAGTGATTCTGCCACAATCCCAAGATGTCCAGGTATGAACAAGGCCTAACGGAGCGCAAATTGGAACTTGATTCGGCTACTCGGCAGGCACTAGTACTGAGCGCCTAAGTGTTTCTGTGTGCACGGGTAACCTGAAGGAATGTTTTTTCACTCATTGGGACCAATGCCTTATTTACTCGCTCAGCAGATGCGCTTCTGCGTAGCGTTGAGAGAGCCAGACACTACCCTTTCTGGACGGTGCTCATCACACTGCAAGATCTCTCCCCTCCATGACAGTCCCCAGGTGCCGTGCTGAAGACAAGCAAGGAGGTGAGAAGGAGATAAACATCGCAATGTTAAAATCATTAAAAGTTTAAGTTGCCATAAAGCCCATTTTGGTTTTTAAAAGCCCCAGACATTCCTAAAAGCACCTCCTTTGCCTAATAAAAAAAAAACATCAACCCGGTATGAGATTTTATTGAGCTTGCATCTACATCAACGGTGTAATGATTTTACATGCAAAAAAATATATATATATATATATAGTTATGCTGATTGCCATGACATAAAATATTATTATACTGTTACACTGAACTGAAGTCAGGTGACGATTATTTCCATGCACTGATACACTCTGTGACTCTCCCAAGGACGCGGAAAATGGTCCTGGAGCGTTGTGTCATTGTTGCATCCCCCCACCTGCCATATAGAAGAACCTTTACCGGGTAATTCCACGGAGCGGGTTATTTCATTTTAACAGATGGCTCTGGACGGGAAGGAAATAAATGAAGCTGGCAATCTGCGGAATGGAATGCCAGAGCAATGCTTATATTTCAATGCAATCACACTCTGAATACTGAGCAAGATGAGATGGATCAAACCTGCCAGGTAATGACTCTTCAGAGTGCAAGAGAAAAAGGTCAGAACAGAGACGGAGAGGGGCGCAATACAGGGAAAAGAGGGTGCAATACAAGGAGAAGAGGGTGGAATACAGGGAGAAGAGGAAAGCAATACAGAGAGTAAAGGGAGAACAGGGAGCAATACAAGAAGAAGAGGGTGCAACACAGGCAAAAAAGAGAGCAACACATGGAGAAGACGGGCCGAAACAGGGAGAAGAGGGCACAATACAGGGAGAAGAATGAAAAACGTTCCAAATTCAGAGAGATATATATTCCAGTAGAAGAGAGGCATAACAGGTAAAGGCCGAGGAGAGTAGCAGAGGACAACTATCCTTAGTTTCAACACAGAATGAATGTTTTGAGATAAGGAAGAGGATTTCAGCAGAGGGTGGCTCTTTTTGCTACAGAGGAGGATTTTAGGGACTAGCAAACTAGTGATATTTAGGGTAACAAGGGAGGAGTTCCAGATCCAGAGTGAAGTTATATTTAAAAGAAAGAAGAGTTCAAGCAGAGGAGGGATGTTCAGGGTAAGGGAGAAGAGTTCCATCAGAGGATGAATCTTCAGGGTACAGGGAGAGGAGTTCTAGCTGATGAAGGATGTTCAGGGCACAAAGAAGAGCAGAGACAAGAGCGGTGGGATGCTTGGGGTTCAAGGAGAGTAGTTCCAGCAGAGTAATATTGTTAAAAGGAAGGGGATTTCTAACAGTGGAAGAATGTTCAGGTTACCAGATGATAAAGAATATTCAGATTACAAGCAGAGGAAGGATGTTCAAGGTGCAAGACAAGGAGGTCCCGCAGAGGGAAGATGTTCACGGTACAGGGAGAGGAGTTTCGGCACAGGAGGGATGTTCAGGGTACAGGGAAAGAAGTTCCAGTAGAGGAGGGGGTGTACTAGATTCATGGAAAGGAGTTTCATCAAAAAAATAACAGTAACAGCAAAGTGATGGAAAAAAGATCCAAAGGAGGGATGTTCAGGGTACAGGGAGATGAGTTTTAGCAGAGGAGGGATGCTCATGGTACAGGGTGAGGAGTTTGAGTAAGAAGAATGTTTTAGTTACATGGGGAGGAGTTCCAGCAGGGGAAAACCATGCAGGGTAAAAGGAAAGAAAAGAACTGCCAGCGAAGGAGAGATGTTCAAGGTACATGGAGAGGAGTTCCAGAGAGAAGAAATGTGAAAGGTAAAAGGAGAGGATTGCTGGCAAAGGAAAGATGCTGAAGGTACATGGAGAGGAGTTCCAGCAGAGGAGGAATGTGCAGGGTAAAAGGAGAGGAATGCCAGCAAAGGAGAGATGTTCAGGATACAGGGAGAGAGGTCTCAGCAGAAGAGGGGTATTCGTGGAACTGGAGATGATATTCAGCAAAGTAGGGAGGGTTCTGGAAGAGGTGTTCTGACAGAAATCCCCAGCAGAGGAAGAAGCTGTGTACAGAGATTAATTCCAGCAGAGGGGGAAAATTTTAGTGGCAGTGAGTAGACCTCCAACAATGGAAGATGCTAATTAATAGAAGCTTTTGGAGTAAAAATCTATCTAAATATAGTTTTCTATTTAAGACACATTCATAATTTAGTTTATTCAGCATGAAATGGAGCTTAGTTATATAGCATGAGGCTGTATACTCTGAAATATTTACATTTTTGGTAAACTCATTAAGCCTGGGTTCACATATATGTTGTGCGGTATATCGCATGTGATTTGCACAGGAACTGCACCGCAAACCACTTGCAATTTGTGTGTGGTGCGATTGGAGCCATACATTATGTATGGCTCTAATCGCACAGCACCAAAAACGTGCAGGACCCTTTTTTTGGTCAGCGCTAGAATCGGATCACATGGGTATTCACACCTACGCGATCCGATTCTGCACATCGCACCGCGTTTTGTGGACCACTTTCGGGGTGTTGTTAACTTAACATAGACACCCGCAGCAATTCACATGAATGTGGTGCGCAATACGCGCAGAAAACCCTTTGCATCAGTGTGAACCAGGTGTCAATGAATCCAAGCTCTGCAAGCTGAAATAAAATGCACTGCATTGATGCATTCACACAATTTCACAGTAATCATGAGAAAAAAACATGAAATAAAAGAATTTGAGTACCGTAGTTCTCCAACTATTTGTGATTAACCTATTCACCTAAAATCGGTTCTGATATCACTGTTTGACAGCTTATTATTCTAAAAAGGAAACCTTCATCTGGCTTTCAAATATTAAAGATTCTAACAACCAACAAGAATGAGTTGGATTCCTTACATTTAAAGAGCACCTGTCATTTTAGATACATCATGGCAGCTCCTGTTAGCGAGCATCCACTCACCTGCTGCCACCACGTCCCTCACCTTGTTGTGTCACTTCCGCATCAACAGCCATCCCATTAACCACCTCCCGCCTGCCATATAGTCCAATGACGGGTGCAAGGTGGTTCTCTCGTTCTGATAGGACGTCATATGATGTCCTTCCATTCTCACCGCGCATGCGCGGCTCAGAGAGCGCGTAGCGCGGCGATCTGCAGTGCGCTGTGTCCCTCGAACACAGCGGATCACCAATCCATGGTAAGAGCCGAAGATGTCAGCTCGGTCATGTGATCAGCTGTGTCCAATCATAGCTGATCACATGTAAACAGGGAAATGCCGGTTATCGGCATTTCTCTTCTCTTGAGCTGTCACGCTGACAGCTCGAGAGGAGAGGAGAGCCGGAAATCGGCATTCCGCGGAGGGGACAGATACACTGATCATCAGGGCACTGATGATCAGTGTGCCCTGATGATCAGTGTGGCCCCAGAAGTGCCACCTGTCATTGTCCATCAGTGCCAGCTGTCAGTGCTGAACAGTGCCACCTGCCAGTGCCCATCAGTGCCACATCAATGCCACATATCAGTGCCTACCAGTGCACATCGGTGTCCATCTGAGCTGCCTTTCAGTGTCAACCATCAGTGCCAGTCAGTGCCACCTATCAAAGCCAATCAGTGCCACATATCAGTGCTGCCAGTCAGTGCCGCCTATCAGTGCCAGTCAGTGCCACCTAACAGTGCCATATATCAGTGCTGCCTTTCAGTGCCCAGTGATGCCTGTCAATGCCCATCAGTGCCACCTACCAGTGCCTCCTCATCAGTGCCACCTATCAGTGTCCATCGGTGCATCTTATCAGTGGCCATCACTACACATCAGTGAAGGAGAAAAATTACTTATTTACAAAAATTTAACAAAAACTAAGAAAAAAGGTTTGTTTTTTTTCACAATTTTCAGTGGTTTTTGGTTTGTTTAAGAAAAAATGAACTCAAGAGGTGATTAAATACCACCAAAATAAAGCTCTGTCACAAAAAATGCTAAAAATTTTATATGGGTACAGTGTTGCATGACCACACAATTGTCAAAGTGTAACAGCGCTGAGAGCTGGAAATTGTCCTGGGCAGGAAGGGGGTATCAGTGCCTTGTAGGCTAGTGGTTAAAGTGAATGGAACTGTTGATGCGTCAACAGTGGGTCAGAGGAGGAGCTGCTGCGGGACAGAGATGACAGTTGTTCTTTAAAAAGTATGATTTAAATGGAGCCTTTTCACTAGGGATTTAAATTTTGATTTAAATCAAATCCATCCTGCAACAGTTTGAACAAGGAAACTTGATTGGCTGCTATGGGCAAGTATATTTTATTCTCTTCTCCAAGGCCCAAAAGAATTGACTGCACATTAAGACTCCCCAGACACTGCTATCGGACGGCACATCTCGTTGCAGAAGAATTTGGACTGTGCAGATCATTATCATGCCAGGTTCCAAATGCTCCTCTAGGCGAGCCTGTCCGATGTGACAAGCCCTGCACAGCTCCTCCGAGAAACAACTAACTGACTACTCTATCTGTTTCATTGACTGTGCCATACACCTCGGTCTGTGAAACACGAGGACCCCCATCGATCTCCAGACTTGTCTCCATCCCGGATCCAGCGTCATGTCTGCTTCAGCAATTAAAGCATCGATGCCACTGAAAGCAGCCAGAGGAATCAATATCTCCCTAATAGTGGCTTTATGTGAAGATGGAAGAAGTTTACCACCCTCACATCATCACTCACAGTGCCAATAATGAAAAGATGGGCAACATAAAGCACTTTCCAGACTCCCAGGGAAAGGGTCAGCTCCATGGACATTGCAGCCTCAATGACAGCACCAAGCAAATGCTCTGTTGTCTATATGTGTATGTATATTTTATGCTGTGTACTTACTGAAATGGCTTCTTAAGGTCACTGCAAAAATTAAAAATTGGGTGCCTGGAAGAAAATATGTTTTAAACTCTACATTCAGAAAGGTTTCTTTAAAGTAAGAGCTGTAAAAACATATCCAGGAGCTAGATGAAGCCATTTCCTGTAGATTTATTCAGAAAGGCCAGATGTATTTCTAAATGCACAAAAATATACTAGCTATTAATATTTATTAGTAATACTACTGTAGAATATCGATCCAAAAAGCACCTGATTGCCCTTAGAAATCAGGAAGGAAATAATTCAGTTTTTACAACAAACTGGAGCGCACTTCCTCTGGATCAACTGGTGGTTTAGGGTTCTGAGGATGTTCAAGTAAAATTTACAGAGCAATGAGAGCAGAGTCCTCCTCCTCCCCAGTGATATAATTTAATGATTATTTGTAAAAATATTTTCTATGGCTATATATGACTCCAACATATTCTGTAATGCTGTATAGGAGCACAGTGAGCCCACCACATCAGTCTCTGCGACAGAGGAGAATTATTATTATTATTTTACATTTATATGGCTCTGACATATTCTTCAGTGCTGTACAGTCTGCACATCAGTCTCTGCACCAGAGGAACTTACACTCTAATGTCCCACCACAGTCACACACTATTATTATTGCACATTTATATTGCTCTGCTATATACCACAGTGCTGTGCAACACTGAGCCAATCACATGACACTTTGTACTAGAGGTGCTGAGTTCCAATGTCCCCACAACAGTTTATCAAGTAAACCTACACTATATTGATAAAAGTATTGGGCCTCCTGCCTTTACATACACATGAATTTTAAAATGGAGTTCCAGTAGCACTGTGAAAAAATAAAAGTCAGCAGCTACAATAACTGTAGCTATCTCATGATCCCGCGGTGTCCTCCCGCAGCCCGTTTCACCAGCCACGTCACCCGTCCCCGAAGACTACAGGGAGGGAGGGTAGGAGGACAACGTCCGCTTCTGATCGACTAGGCGATTGCAGCGGAAGTGGGAGCAAGTACCTGTCAATTTCAGGCACCCACCCCACTCTCCGCTCCCCAAAAGGTGCCAACCCTTAACCAGTCTTTAAAGCGTAACTTTCCCTTTTGGGTGGAGCTCCGCTTTAATGGCAGCCCAGTCTTAGTCCGTAGGGTTCAGTATTGAGTTGGCCCCGCCCTTTGCAGCTATAACAGCTTCAACTCTTCTGGGAAGGCCGTCCACAAGGTTTAGGAGTGTGTCTATGGGAATGTCTGACCATTCCTCCAGAAGGGCATCTGTGAGGTCAGGCACTGATGTCAAACGAGAAGGCCTGGCTCACAGTCTCCGCTGTACTTCATCCCAAAGGTGTTTTATCAGGTTGAGGTCAGGACTCTGTCCAGGCCAGTCAAGTTCTTCCACCCCAAACTTGCTCATCCATGTCTTTATGGACCTTGCTTTGTGCACTGGTGTGCAGTCATGTTGGAACAGGAAGGGGCCATCCCCAAACTCTTCCCACAAAGTTGGGAGCATGAAATTGTCTAAAATGTCTTGGTATGCTGACGCTTTAAGAGTTCCCTTCACTGGAACTAGGGGGCCAAGGCCAACCCCTGAAAAATGACCCCACACCATAATCCCCCTCCACCAAACTTTACACTTGGCACAATGCAGTCAGGCAAGTACCGTTCTCCTGTTAACCGCCAAACCCAGACAAGTCCATCAAATTGTCAGACAGAGAAGTATGATTGGTCACTCTAGAGAACACGTCTCTGCTGCTCTAGAGTCCAGTGACGGCGTGCTTTACACCACGGCATCCAACGCTTTGCATTGCACTTGGTGATGTAAGGCTTGGATGCAGCTGCTCGGCCATGGAAACCCATTCCATGAAGCTCTTTATGCACTGTTGTTGTGCTAATCTGAAGGCCACATGAAGTTTGGAGGTCTTTAGCTATTGACTCTGCAGACAGTTGGCGACTTCTGCGCACTGTGCGCTTCAGCATGCGCTGACCCCGCTCTGTCATTTTACGTGGCCTACCACTTGATGGCTGAGTTGCTGTTGTTCCCAGTTGCTTCCACTTTGTTATAATACCACTAACAGTTGACCGTGGAATATTTAGTAGCCAGGAAATGTCACGGATGGACTTATTGCACAGGTGGCAACCTATCACGGGACCACGCTTGGAGTCACTGAGCTCCTGAGAGCGATCCATTCTTTCACAAATGTTCGTAGAAGCAGTCTGCATGCCTAGGTGCTCGATTTTATACATGTGTGGCCATGGAGGGGATTGAAACACCTGAATCCAATGATTTTGACGGGTGTTCCAATACTTTTGGCAATATAGTGTATGTGGATGCCACTAATCTACATTTTTCCTCTTCACATAATGTGTTAAAATCTACACATACCTAGGGAGATAATACAAACTCCATGCACAAAGAGTACCTGATTGGAAATAGTGGCAGCACTAGGGTCGCCCTAGTATGTGTATGAATGTGGGTTAGAGGCGTTAGGTTGTAAGTTCCTTGTGGGCAGGGACTGATGTGAATGTACAATATACAGTATATACTATATACAGTATATAGCACTGTGTTGCAGTGCTGCAGCAGGATGACCAACTTGGTCCAAACAAACTATTTAAAGCAATATTAAACCCAAAAAACAAACATTATATTGCAGCTTACCAATTCTTAGATGTGATGGCTGCATTAGTTTCCCTTTTTAGGCTTTCTTTCTTCTATTTTCCACTGAGCATTCAGCCAGCAACTCTGCTGTTTTACAGAAGTACAAGCTCTCCAGCAGAATGTATCAGCTTACATGTATGAGACAATCCATTTACCACTGGCAGGGGTGATTAAATGCTCATCTTTTATTTATTCATGTAAACCTTTTATCCCAAAAGGAAAAAAAAACAGTTTGCTGTAACTGACTGAAGTGTGAGCTGGAGGTTAGCTTCAATTTGTTATTGTATTCAAATCTGCTATTACACTTAACACTCCCATTCCCCCCAGACTGACAATGCTGCTTTCTACTGTGTCCTGTGCTCCATCATCAGGAGTGGAGTCTCACTAATACTGAGGGTGTGTTACTGGCCAGACCACCTGGCAAAAACAGAGGGAAAAAGCCAAAGAAGAGAAAACTAATGCAGCCACATCTAATAATCGTTAAGCCACAAAATAATACATTTATGATGTTGGGTTTAATACTTCTTTAAACTTCACTAAAAGCTGGAAATCAGCTTAAGGGCTCGTTCACATCAGTTTTTCTGCATGCGTTCTGCAAGGACACAACTAAATCAACTGTTCTCTGTGTGCCCTGTTCACACCACAACACTAGTAGCATGTGCAGAATTGTTCTGCGCAGGAATCCGCAATGTGTATAAAACACTTTGCAGCGTGCATGAAAGTTGATGTGAACTGATATCTCTGCAAATAACATCTACATGTCAGTTTCCATCAGTTTTACTGCACGTATGGTGTGAACGAGGCCTTAAATCCAGAAACCCAGCGTGTTAAGTAACAGAGCAAGGAATAAAGCCAATGTATTTGCATTCACATTTACGATTTTGTTTAGACCCGGATAGATGCAGGCAGGATATTCTGTTCACTTTTCTTGCTACCAATAACTCTCTTACAGCATAATGTAATCACCAAGAAAAAAAAAGTGGAAACTGTCATCCAAATGAATAGGATACGTACATTCGCCATCACAGCACACTGTGCATCAGCCATACTGGATCCATCCAATGACCATGCACTTAACCCTCAATAAATATTTTATTTCTCAGCAGAAAGTGTCCTTATTTTATAACATTCTGAATGTCACCGGCGG